TGGTTGTTAAGTGAGGTGTGTCCCACTTTATGACCGTTCTCGCCACAATTGAACCACAAGTTGACAGTTGAACCATTGGTTCACTTAACAACCGACACAAAAAATGGCTGTAGTGTAAAATCAAGTCGGTTGCATTTTTACAAGCTTTCTGACATCTGATTGCAAGGGGCGGGCTCCACTATGGTCGTATGTCAAGGACTCTCTGTCCTTCTGGCCTGGCTGAGACTTTGGAAGTCAGCCAAAGCCACTTAGGTGATGCCTCCTAGTGGGACCTCATGGTACTTCAGGCATAAAGTGGATTAGATTAAATATGCTTTACTCACTAGGTGCTCTTTCCTTCCTTTCCCGCCCCTCCTGCCCCCACCAGACTCTGATCAGTGAAGGGGAGGAAGAGGACCTGGGTGATGAGGAGGAAGATGAGGCCAAAGGGATGAAGGCAGCCTTGGCTGACTCCATGCTGGCCAAGAAGATGGACGACAAAAGCAGGAAGCCCCTGGTGAAAAGCATGGCAGACTTGCACAGCGCGGGTAAGGGGGCCAAGCATTGAGGTAATTCCCCGTTAGGAGAATGAGCGCATACAGGGAGACGTAGTGAGAGTAGTGAAAAATAATACACACAACCAGCACACGGATACACTGTACAGTAAATGTAGGTTTTTACTTCCAATAAACGTTTAAGCAAAGTCCAACAAAACAGTCCAAGTCATTCACGGTTAAAGCAGTCAGTTTTCAGTCCAGGGATAATCCAATAACAAAGTCCGGTATCAAAAACAGTTCAGTAACAGACATCAAATCCAAGAATAACAGTCAATTAGGAGGAACGGCAATACTCTCCAACAGAAGGAAACAGAGACTCACTCACACTCTCTTCTGAGACTAAACTACCCAGGTTTCTGGCTCCATCTTATGGCTGTTTGAGGAACCACACCCAATTACAGTTTTATGATTCTCTTAAAGATACAGTATTAACATGTCTATCCTGGTTTATATATTTCCAACCCAAATAACTGTTAGGTGACTTACATTCCTAATTCCAAGCTCAAGAAAAGGGCCATCGGGGGGCATCGGATGGCAGCCGGCTGAATTTTTCTCAGTTGTACAGGGAGGGGTGCTGTTCTCCGCAGGTCAAAAAAAAAGGCAAGATGGCAGACCCGCGATGGAGAAAAAGAGAGAGAAGGAAAGAAGGAAAAAAAGAGAAAGGGAGAGAGGGTGGAAAGAAGGAGGAAAAAAAGAGCGGTGGGGAGAGAGGTAGAGAGGAAAGCAAGGAAGGGGGAAAGGAAGAAAAAGAAGGGGAAAGAAGGGAGAGAGAAAAGAGGAGAGAAAAGGAAGGAAGGACAAAGAAAACAAAGGAAGAAAGAAAAAGAGAGGCAGAGAAAAGGACACACACTCACACACACGAATCAAAGAAGGACCCAGCGTGAGAATCTTACGGCCGTCTTCACATCTGCCCGATTTTTATTCTGAAGTAATGACTGGCACTTCCTTTTTTGTTTCCCCAGATCACAGCAAGAGGCTAGATTGCCGGAATCGGGTTCCTGTCCGGTATTGCAATCTGGGGAGTCGGGATTCTGTCAGGTACATTGTTCCAGTGAACGCTGTGTCCGCTTTTAAGGGTAGCCAAAAATAATAAAATAAAATAAGCAAAACAATAATACCATACAACAAACAACACAACGCAACGCAATGCAATACATAAAATAAGAGCAAAGAAGGATTCAGAGACCAGATTCCTGGGGAAAAGAGAGTTTAAAACTTAAAAAATGCATCTATTTTCCAAAATGGTGAGAAGTTAATTTATTTTTATTCTGCGTTTGGTCGATTCCTCCCTCTCAGCCGAAGTGCCAATCAGGGATAGAGGGAAGGAGGTGAGCCACAAGTAAGGGAGAACCAAGTTTTAATCTCTCCTCAATCACAGAAGGTGATTGGCTGACTCTGGGAGAGTCCCTCCTTCTCAGCCCAAGAGCCAATCAGGGATAATGGGGGAAGGAGCTAGACTGGAGTTGGGAGACCTGGGTTCTAATCCCTCTCAGCTCAATTTGCCTCTTGGGGGTTCTTTTTGGGGAGAATAATTGGGTGCTAGATACACTACCTTGAGTTCATATACAAATCTAAGAAAGGAAGGAGGGAAGGAGGGAGGGGAAATGGATGGGAGAGAGGGATGGATGGATAAACAGAAGGAAGGGAAAAGAGGGAGGCAGGGAAGGAAGGAAGGATAAATGAATGGAAGAGAAGGAAGGGAAGAGGAGGAAGAAAGGAAGAAGATGGAAGAAAGGAGAGAAAAGGGAAAGGAAGAAGGGAAGGGAAAGGAATAAATGGATGAAGGAGAAGGAAGGAAAGGAAGGGGAAGGGAAGGAAAAGAAAGGAAAGGAGGGGGAAGAAAAGGAAGGGGAAGGAAGGGAAAGAAGGATAGGAGGGAGGGAGGGAAGGAAGGAAGAAAGTATAAATGAATGGAAGAGAAGGAAGGGAAGGAGGAAGAAAGGAAGAAGATGGAGGAAAAGAGAGAAAAAGGAAAGGAAGAAGGGAAGGGAAAGGAATAAATGGATGAAGAAGAAGGGAAAGGAAAGGAAGGGGAAGAAAAGGAAGGGAAAGAGAAGGGAAAGGAAAGGAAGGGGAAAGGGAAAAGAAAAAAAAATCCCCTTCCAACTCTTGAGATTCTAAGATCTGAATGCATTCAGCCTGGAGAAAAGATATGGGGGAGACCTGATGTTAGATAGTCTACTATCTCAAGGCTCCTTCCCCTGAGTAGCTGAGGGAGAAGTCCAAACCCCTAGAAAGAAAGATGCCATCTGGGTTTGGGGCCAAGACTGTTCCTTAAGGCAGATGCCATGACACTTTCTGGAGTTGGTCCACAAGTCCTAAAGTGGCCAAGGTTGGAGACCCCTGCCCCAGGCAACCCATCTTCACTCTAGGGCACCAGACCGGGTCCAGTTTCCCTCCAGGGAGCCAGTGTAGCTCATAGAGTGGGGAATGTCACATGGGGGTCAAAGGGAATGTCTAATCCTCCTTGTGATCACCACAAGACTGGGGGTTTTCTTCCTTCCTTTTAGGAACCCGCATACCTTGGTGGAGGTGACGTCGTTCGCAGCCCTCAACAAATTCCAGCCTTTTAACGTGGCCATCTCGAGCAATGTTCTCCTGCTCGTGGTAGGTACCCCTCCTCCAAATGCCAGTCTGGGGCTGGCTGGGGAATTCTGGGATTTCCGGATTCAGCGTGTTCCGAGGGCACCCGGTTGCAAGAAGGCTGACTCGCTGAACACTTGTGTTGTGTTCGATTGATTGCAAGTGTTTTGCACAATGCCTGGTGGCTGGTGAATTCCGTCGATGGGAAAGGACATCAAAGCAAATGAATCCGCCCAAGGAAAATACAAATATTAATTCTCTAGCTCATATGCTTTAAGATGGGTGTACTTCAACTCCCAGAATTCCCCAGCCAGTGTCCTTTAAAGTGGGTGGACTTCAGTTCCCAGAATTCCCCAGCTAACATGCTTTAAGGTGGGTAAGTATCAACTCCCAGAATTCCTCAGCCAGCAAGGACCCCACAGTCCTCCTCCTCTCCCTCCTCCTCCTCTCCATAAACCTCGCTCCCTTCTAACACTGATGATGTTACCTAGTTGGGTCATGAAATGTCTTCAAGAAAACCAACAAGCTCAGAGACCACCAAGGACCCCCACAGTTCAACCCTGAGCTACAAATATTCTCCTCTGTTGATTGTCACGCTCCCCTGTCTACTTTGTCCGCTTCTTTTTAGGATTTTCACAGTCATTTAACAAAAAGCGAAGTGGTGGGATACTTAGCAGGCCAATGGAACATCAACAGCCAATGTAAGTCCCGTTGGGTTACCCTGAGGTGAGCTAAAAGGGTTGGATGCTTGGGAACCAGATGGGATAATTTTTCTCTGCCCTTCACCATTCCCGCCTTTCCTTGGTAGCAAAAAAAAAGAACGTTTTTCTCTCAAGTTTCTTTCACCCAAATCTTGGGTGGCCAAACGTAACCCTGGAGATCTTCAAACAGAGGCTGACCCACCCATCGCTGAATCTTGTACAGCTAGTCCTGGACTCACAACCGTTCATTTAGCAACCCTCCAAAGTTAGAACAGCACTGAAAAAAATGCATTACGACCAGTTCTTTCTATATACCGTTTCCCTGAAAATATGACCTACCCTGAAAGTAAGCCCTAGCCTGATTTTTTTTACACGTGTGCGTGAATGCTACGGACTTTGAAAACAGCAGGGGGCTAGAGTTAGGGTTAGGCCATAGATTGACCTCCTTGGTTCCCCGAAAATGCGACCTACCCTACCTGAAAGTAAGTCCTAGCCTGATTTTTTTACACATGCACCCAATATAAGCCCCACCCCCCCAGAATAAGCCCTAATTGAGATCCCACCCACTCCAGAGTAGACGATTAAACTAGGGTGGGGATAGGAGTGTGTGGACCTGCCCTACTACTTACCTTTGGACAGTTTGTAGCCGGGCCTGACACACCCCGACACCTGCCTTGCCGGCCCATTTCCCCTTTTGCGACCTTCTGACTTAGCAACCACAGTGGTTCACTTAACAACCAATGGCAGGAAAGTTCATAAAAATGGAGCAAAACTCGCTGAACCCACTTGACCCGCTTAGCAACAGAAAGTTGGGGTTCAATTGTGGTCGTAAGGTTGAGGACTAGCTGTATTTCCCACTGGAGGAACCAGCAAAATGCAAATTTTTATATTCTGAACATCGCTTAACCTCCCAATTTAATGATACATAAACATTACGAAAGGAAGGCAAGGAAACTCGACAAAAGCATAATTTGTGTGATTATGAGCATTTCCTGTACACAGCATGAATGTGGAATGGAAAAATCTTTGAGATGTTTCCAACTCTTTGATTTTATTTGGCACAGAGATCATCCAGATTTAATTTTTGGCCTCGATAAGGAAAGGCTGGGCTTTTCCGGCAGCCACAAAATACAAATTTATTTGTAGTTGAAAGACATTTCTTGAAAGAAAGAATGAATGATTTTTTTTTTAATGATTTTTGGCCAATCAATGAATACATTAAACCCCACAACCAAACTATTGTCCCCAGAATAAATATAATAGCTTAACACAGTACAGTTTCAATTTTTCATATTTATAACAAAAGGCTGGAATATTCTGCCAGCCACAACATGCAACTGCATTTGTGGCTTAAAGAAAAGAATGAATGAATGAGTTTTTATTATGGCTTTTGGCTGATTGGTAAATAAAATAAACCTCACAATTGGTCCATTGTCCTTGGAATAAATGAAATTACTGTATGGTATAGCACAATCAGTGCAGTTATATCAGCAGTGACTGGTGTTTTGTTTTAACAGCAATATAAAAAGCCATTTTATTTATATTTGGGCTGATGAATTCAAGGCAGTGAATTCCTTAAATCATTTCTAAATCATTTAAAAAGTCATGAAGTAGTAATTTCCTTCTGGGTATCCCAACATAGAATATCATATTGTAGAGGACATAAGAACATACAATGATAAGTTATATAGTGTTTCTCAGTCTTGACCACTTTTAAGATAGGTGGACTTCAACTCCCAGAATACCCAGTCAGAATGCTTCAAGATGGGTGGACTTCAACTCCCAGAATACCCAGTCAGAATGCTTCAAGATGGGTGGACTTCAACTCCCAGAATACCCAGTCAGAATGCTTTAAGATAGGTGGATTTCAACTCCCAGAATTCCCCAGCTGATATACTTTAAGATGGGTGGATTTCCAGAATTCTCCAGCCAGAATGCTTCAAGATGGTTGGACTTCAACTCCCAGAATACCCAGTCAGAATGCTTCAAGATGGATAGACTACAACTCCCAGAATTCCCCAGCCAGAATGCTTCAAGATAGTTGGACTTCAACTCCCAGAATACCCAGTCAGAATGCTTTAAGATGGCTGGATTTCAGTTCCCAGAATTCCCCAGCTGACATAATTTAAGATGGCTGGACTTCAACTCCCAGAATTCCCTTGTGGACTTCAACTCCCAGAATTCCCTTGTGGACTTCAACTCCCAGAATTCTGGGAGTTGAAGTCCACAGGTCTTAAAGTTGCCGAATTTGGAAACCCCTGCTCTAAACGTATGCTAATTTTGACCCTGATTGATGTATAAGGTTGCAAAATGTGCGTGTGTGTGTGTGTGTGAGAGAGAAAATCCTTCTTTAACCATAACCTCGTTGTGTTACGCTGCGTTGTGTTCCAGTGCTGACGGTACTGAGGGCATTCCCTTGCCGGTCACGACTTGGAGACAATGAATTGGCAGCCATCATGGAAGAAGAGGTGAGGCGATGGATGGAAAGGAGAAAGGATCTCTTTGGATCTTCAAAAAGATTGCCCCGAAAGTTCACTTCCAGTTTGGAAGCACTGCTTAAGCAGTTTCCACTTATCCTTATCGTAAAGTGTAATTTGAAAAAGCGTACAGGTAGCCCTCAACTTAACGACCGCAATGGGGACCTGAAAATTTGCCGTTAAAGCGATGCGGTTCAGTAGGTCACGATAGATGGTCTTCCCACTTGTCAGAAAATGGCTGGGCAAATCACAGAGTTCACATAATGTCAGGATTCTGCAAGTCATAAAGAATTCTAGTCTGTTTGAAATGTGAGCGAAGCACCCAGATGGCAGTCACGCAAGGATGGAAAAGCCGCAGCAGTCGTAAGTACGAGGAACGGTCGTAAGTGTTGTGGCCCAACAGGGACCAGTGGAACTGGCAACAGACTCAGATAGTGAGGAGGTTGGGGGAGGAACGTGGGCCAATCCTGGAATCTGGGGAAAGCTTTGACGAGGGCTCTGCGTCGGAGGCAGAGATGGGGCCAGGCAGCTATAGTTTAGCTTAACTGAAATGGATAATGCCAGGCAGATGAAATCGAGAACTGGGTGATGCTTTGGAGGAAGAAAGGAGGGTAAAGGGGCATTTTAGGTCTGGGGTGTGTGTGTTACAAAGCAAAGTCAAGTTACAAACTAAATCAGATCCTGTATTATCTGTTCCTCCATAAGCAGAAGCTAACTTAAATTTATTATTATTTTAAATAATCATATGATTTCAAATATTATTTTTTTAAAAATAATTTAATATTTTTTTAAAAAAATAACTCAAGGTGGTGAACATATCTAATACGTTTCCCTCTTCCAATTTAACCCACTACAACAATCCTGTGAGGTGCGTTGGGCCCAAAGTCATCCAGCTGGCTTTCATAATTAAGGCAAGACTAGAACTCACCATCTCCTAGTGCCGTGATGGCAAACCTATGGTCCATGTGCCACAAGTGGCACGCAGAGCCATTTGTGCTGGCATGTGAGCCACAGGCTCAGTGGGCATGCGCACGTCTCACAGCTAATTTTTTTTTTCCGGTTGGTTTGAGGCCTTTCTCGGCCTCCCAGAGGCTTTTCAGGCCAAATTATAGGCCTGTTTTTGTCACTTCCTGTAATACCAGAAGTGATGAAACGGGCCTATAATTCATCCTGAAAAGCCTTGCGGAGGCTTTTTCCAAGCCTCTGGAAGGCCGAAAAAGGCCTCAAAACAGCCGAAAAATCAGCTATGGGGGTCAGTGCAGATAAGGTGGCGGGGTGGGGATTGTGTGCACATGCGCAGGAGGCGTGGGGAGGTGGGACGTGCATTGCATTCTGAGTGCTGACACCCAAGTGCTTGCGCGCTAGTGTGCGCACACAATTTTTGGCACAGGAGCCCAAAAAGGTTAGCCACCACTGTCCTAGGGATTGGCTCAAAGTCACCCAGGCCATCTTTCATGCCTAAAATGAGACTAGAACTCCCAATCTCCTGGTGATTGGCCCAAAGTCACCCAGCCATCTTTCATGCCTAAGGTGGGACTAGAACTCCCCATTTCCTGGTGATTGGCCCAAAGTCACCCAGCCAGCTTTCATGCCTAAGGTGGGACTAGAACTCCCATTTTCCTGGCGATTGGCTCAAAGTCACCCAGCCATCTTTCATGCCTAAAATGGGACTAGAACTCCCCATCTCCTGGTGATTGGCCCAAAGTCACCCAGCCAGCTTTCATGCCTAAGGCGGGACTAGAACTCCCAATCTCCTGGTGATTGGCCCAAAGTCACCCAGCCAGCTTTCATGCCTAAAATGGGACTAGAACTCCCAGTCTCCTGGTGATTGGCCCAAAGTCACCAAGCCAGCTTTCATGCCTAAGGCGGGACTAGAACTCCCAATTTCCTGGTGATTGGCCCAAAGTCACCCAGCCA